GAGTCAGAAACACACCCAGCACCTCTGAAGGCATTCAGTGTGTGTCAGTGTGACAGCACACCAAAGACCTCCTTAATTAACAGGCAGTGCCCTGCTATAAATAGCCCTACTTTGGCCAGAAAGCCAGAGTAAAAATATCACAGAGATTATTGGCTCATGAATTTTTCAAGCATCCTGTTGTGCTAATTGAAGCAGCCAGCCCTGAGCAGAGGCTGCTGCTGCAGCAGGGCTGGGCTGCAGCCACCTCTGCAGGGCACAACACAGAGCCTGCAGCTGAGACTGCTTCTCCCAGCACACCAAACACAACCAGATCTGTTCATCCACCAAAAAGGCTGAAAATAATTCATCTGTGCTTGATACAGGTGCAAATATCACGGCAGACCCCTGGGAAACTGCCAGTGCATTTCACTGCTTTGCTGCCACTGAATTTCATCCTCTAGTGGAGTGGAAATGAAACCACGGTCATGTTCAGGACAGCACAGGCACAACAGGAAGGTTTTGCTCATACCACCCCTGCATCTCTAAGGTATTTTTATCTTGCAAGTTGAGAGTATGCAAATTGACCTAATGCTATTCTTGGCCAAGACAGATTTTGGTTCAGGATTGAGTTTCAGCTTTCCTGGCCATCCTGTTTTAGTGCCAGCCAGCACTCCCAGTTCAGCAAGGCTGCTCAGCTTACAGAAAGAATGCATCTGATCTAACCCAGCATCTTGCCATGACAGTGACATTAATCTGCTCCTGCAGGAGAAGTCACCTTCCTTCCATCCTCCCTCAAGGAAACAATCCCCAGGGTGTCTGTCTCGACCTTCCCAGGCTGTGCAGAGACAGGTTTCATAAACTGCAGTGCCCCAGGCTCAGCACGGCTCCTATTTCCTCCCATCATTACATGGGAAATGATTCCTGGTGATTTTCTATGGCCTTGGTCATCAGCATAAATGTTTGCTTTGGAATTCTGCTATACTTTGCTCCTCATGGGGTTTTTTACATAAATTACTCCAAAAGCTGCAGCAGCCCCATTGGTCCCAATCCTGTGCTTATTTCTATCTTTAGATCTGAGTGCCCAAGAGACAGACACTTGTGTTTTTATGTGAGCAATTCCATTGCTTTGATGAGTCGAGATGAGTTCAACTGCATGACACTCTGTGATGGCAACTCCCATCACTGACTCCCAATCCATCCTTTCCTCTGCTCCAGTGACTCTGCAATCAGCCCCTGACCACTTCCCCAGCTGCTGCTGTGTTTCCTCTACACAGCAGTGAAGAGCTGGCCTGTTTCTCTAGAGGGGCTCCCAGTGGAAGGAAGCAGTGGGGAGGGTTTGGGAGCTTCACTGCTCCTCAGCTCTCAGAGAGAGCAGCTCTGTGCTGCTCAGCAGGCTCCACAGCCAGAGGGAGGGACAGCACGAGCACGGCAAGTGCTTGGCCTGGAAAAACCTCGCCCAAAGGCCTTTCCTAAAGAGCAAAGATGAGATGGGTTCAGGCCAGCACCCAGGCAGTGCCTCCCAGCTCCCAGGTGTGAAATGCCCTCTCCTCTCCTCACCCAGGCCAGGGAGGGAGAGGGTGGATGAATTCCTGCCCCTGCTGGATCACACCCTGCAGGCACTGAGCAAACCCAGCTCAGGGTGCTGCGGATGCTTCACCTGCCAGGGCCACTCGTGCCCGAGTGTCCCTCCAGAGGCACCCAGGGACTGAAATGCTGAATATCTGAGGGGTCTCCTACTTGGCCATGGTTAGATGCCCGTGGGTAGGTCATCTATAAGGAATCTATAAGGAAAGATACTCAGATCATTTCAGGTGTTGCCACGCACCCCCAGAATTATGAGATTACCCTTCAAATTCACTGCTCTTTCTGCTGTAGTTTTCAACATTGCTTCAATGTTCTTGAATGATGGCAAATGACTGACAACACTTACCAACACTCCTAATGCAAAAGCCAGGTGGGAAAAGGACTCAGACTTTCCAAAACACAACGAACCTGTTGGCTTTACAAGTTCAAGTTGCACAATGAGGTTGATTACACTTTCACACCCAAAATGCACTTACATCCCCTAAATGCTGTGTAGGTTAAAGTATTTTATCTAGTATTTTCAGAGAATTTCAACTGAAGAATTTTGGGGCAGGGAGAAAAATATCAAACCTGCTGGCAACGTAGAAAATTCCACAAAGGCTTCCTTTTTCTCTCGTTGCTCCAAGGGAAGCTGCCAGGGCATCTGGTGGGGCTTTGCCATCACCTTCACCTTGTAGGCCATGTTGGGCTTCAAATTAAAAAAATGGTACTTGTAGCTAGCAGCCTTGACAATGTCAAACTCCTCCTCGTTGAGGAAGATGACGTGGCTGTAGTTGCTGTTGGTGGGCAGCCAGGAGAGCTCGGCAGAGATCTGGGTGATGTTGTCCACGCGCAGGTTGGAGGGGGCCACGATGACGTCCTTGCCCACCAGCAAGGTGCACTGCAGCTCGTCGGAGCTGCCCTTGCTGGTGATGCTCTGGATGGATATCCTGTAGGTGCAGGCGGAGGTGTTGAGCTTCTCTATCAGGGCTTTGGTCCTGCTGCCCAGGGCGATGTTCATCCGCACCTCCTTGTCCACCAGCACGTTGTAGCTGCTGACGGTGCCCCAGCCGGGCGGCACCAGCGGCNCTGTGGAAATTCTGTTTTGCCCATTTATCATCCTAATTCCAGAAATCCAGTCTCAATCCCAGGTGATACAATAAAGGACCTCTCCATTCACAGCTCCAAATCCAGTTTTAGTCTTGATTAAATTCCCCTCATTAAAGAGGTCCTTCATGCATCAACGGGCTTGCTGACCAAACTGTAAAACCCTGAGGGTAATTCACGTATCATCTGTTCTTTGCAGCTGTTTGTTACATCACATTAGAATTTCAAAGTGGTCAGCATTTAATTCTAGCAGCATATTGCCATCATGGTGGACCCTCAACACAGGAAGTCAGGTGTTTGGCTAAAGTACTATGCCAAGACATAAAAAACCCATCTCTTTTCTAGACTTCATGTATCTCTTGAAAGTAATGTAATAAATTATTTAATAGTTGTTTTCAGTGGGATCAGACTAAAAGCTGTGCAAAACACAAGGAACAGGAGCATCCCTGCCCATGGCTCAGCCTCACCTGTGTCCCAGCCTATGTCACTGTGTCACTTATGTCACAGCCTGTGTCCCCACCTGTGTCACTGTGTCCCAGCCTGTGTCCCCAGCCCAGCCCAGCCCTGCAGTGCCGTGCAGAGCTGCCCTCCAGCAATCCCTCTGTTCCTGCACAGCCAGGCCAGCCCCTCACCTGCTTGCCCAGCTCGGACTCCTTCAGGAACTCATCCACCGAGGCTCCCCTTCGCTTCACCCTGGGCGAGTCGTAGCCATCCTCCTCCTCCTCGTCCGAGTACGGGGCTGCGCTGCTCCTCTCGCTGAAAACGCTCCTCCTCTCCATCTGGGGGACAGCAGAGGGACACTGGGGACATTGGGGACACTG